ACGCGAGATCCAAAAATAATGTAGCTAAGGTGATTTGGCTCCACGGGTCCGAAACTCAGCGTGCAGTTTGTAGACCGCAGCGCAACTCGGCTCAAAACAAGTACGCGACAAAAACGACGCGGTTACGCTAAACTGTCATGCGCAGAAAAGCTTGCGGTCGTGCTGTCGTTGCAATGTTTGTTTTTTTGCCAATTTAATCACCTCGTCCTCTACGGTCCAGTGGGTTAATTCTTTGGAACGTAGTACGCAACGATTTTGTCACACCTTTCTCTGTATTATCAGGTCAACAAATACTCAGGGGAATAAGTGCTTAGCGTAGCTGATATTAATCATGATTAATACCTCTTTTAATAATTATCGTTACATTTCCCTAGCCATTCTTTTTAGATGATTCTAGGATAGTTAATTTCTTATCACGTTTTGTTCAAATTTGTCCAAATCTGTTCTTTTAATGAAACGGGTTTTCCGTTGTTACACTAATTTCCAACGTTTTAAGTATGTGGCTACTAAGTACTGACAGTATTACGATGAAAAACGAATTTCCATAAAGCACGTTTATTAACTTAAGATTTGCAAATAAAATAATAATAAGAAATCTTCCGGAGGACGTGTATGGCTGAAATGGTGATGGTGATGAATCATGTTGCAAAGTTTACATTTCAAAGTATATATACAAAAAGACCCCAAATCTAAAACGTACCAGCAGACTTTAAATCAATTCAAATTTGAGTCATATAATATTCGCATATAATTGCTTCTGATTGTTAGCGATTTGGTGAGCAATTTAGTCTTAGTTTCAAACCTTTAGACTAAATTGCTCTTCTCCTAAATTAAAAATACGTTTGATTTCAATTTTAGTACTAATCTCTGCATTTAACATGAAACTGTACTGCATTTTACATAAATTGTCGAAAAATTTTCCGTCACTTTTAGGATTCGAACCCGAACAGAACATAACCGATAGCAGCAGAAGTTTCGATATTTTTATACAAGTACACGCAAAGGAAAATTCTCTTTATTATCTCACGTGCTCCGCCCCAGGCGCCCCCGTGCCTTTGAAAAGGAACAGAATCGGGTTTTGACAATGGAAACGAAAACAAATAGACACACCAGACATATATTCGCCAATGAAGGAATGTTCTCGGTCTAGCGATAGTTATTGTAATTAGATCTAATTTTATTTGACAACCATTCATTCCACTTCCCTATGGTCACGGATCCATGATTTCAAAGCATGCTCACATTGGGCGAAGGTATTTTGCATGGGTTAGGTTTGACTTTTACCACTGACTATACAACTTATTCTTTACTAAATTACTTTTTATTTTTTAATGGATTCAAAGTTGCCAAAAATATTATGGAGTTCGGAATCTTTGCTGTAAATCACTTATTAACTACACCGATAGTTAATACGTGATTTGAAGGACAGTTTTGAGGGTATTGGATGTTGGTAGAGGAAATCTGTGCTTGTGGAAAGTTCGGTCCTATCATAACAAACAATGTTGGAGTTGCGGAATTTAATTAAATTTCCATATCGCAAACTGATAAACCACGTGTTAATGGAGAAACACAACACATGCATGTAGATAGGAGCATTCTTTTCAAAGATCCAGATACTACTGTCCAATTGTCTAATACTGATATATTTGTGCAAATCAAAGTAATTCACAAACAGTGAAAGAGGACGTGGAGTACTAAGTAATTTAATGTGATTGGAAATGAAATATACGGAATAAATATGGAGCGGCATTCGTACGCTTCATTTCTGCCGCAATGTAAAATGAAAAATGTTAAGCGTATTTCGCCTCGTAGAAATCACTCCGCATTGTGTTGAGTGATTGTTACGGGAATCTGATTTTCGGAAAGTTCCAGAGAAGAAATCGCTTCAATATTCATACGCTTATTTATATACGATGTCGTCCAATATATTGGAGATGGAAACGAACATGACGGGAACTTTTTTCTCAGAAGGGATGCCTCGTAATGCTTTTAATATTACTTAGACGGTAGCCTCTCCGCTTAACGATTGTGCTCCGACTTTGACGTTAACTTTCGCAAACTGTTCCGTGCCTCAACTTATGTCAGGCTAACGGCGAATTAAATTCTCTTACTCCCCACTTAGTTGGTTCGGTCACTCTAAGGTTTAAATGGAAAATCATAGCCTATTTAACTAGATTTGAATAGTGATTTTCTATTTGAATATTTATTGTATTTACGGGAAAAGTTTTCATCGGAGAAAAAACGAATTCACTGATTTAAAATATAATAAAATGCGTTAAATAGTTTCATTTACATTTTCCCTACAATTCGTATTTATGGTGCCCACAGATATTTTTTTTTTTATGTGAAAAGTTTCCAAGCGAGCAGACGGTTCACCTGATGTTAAGTGAATACCGTCGCCCATGGACATCTGCTACACGAGGGTTGCAGATGTGGTGACAACCTTTTGAAAATATTATTTAACATAAATCATTTTATTTTTTTCAAAAATAGACCTTTAATATAAGTATCTCCAAAGACCTGTATATCTCTTGAATTAGGTATCTCATAAACGTTACTGATCTGAAATGTAAACATCACCGTAGTTAATTAGTTACATGACAAAACATTATTACATCATAGATATTTATGAAAATACAGGATACCGTTGCCGCTCTTTATAAAATACTCTGACTTCCGATTGTGTATTTCAAGTTTGGTTCTAGATAATAATCCTTACCAATATTATATAGGCGAAAGTTTGTATGCATGGATGGATGTTTGTTACTCAAATACTACTGAGTGGATTTTAATGAAACCTTACAATAATGTAGCTTATACATATAATTTGTCAGACAGATATACATAAAATATTTATTTTATGTATATATAATATGTTTTTCTATCTGAATGTTACGCCTTCAGCCTATTCTACGCAGACGTACTCGCGGGCAGCAGCTAGTGAGCTATAACTGGATTTATTAGCTATTTTATTGGGCCGAGCTAGACCTTGATACAAGCCGAAAGACTATCTTGACATAATACACAATTTCTCATCAGTTAAGGCGTAAACCAAGGCTAGCTAATAGAACTTTTACAGCATATACATAGGTCAAAAGTTTACATCAAAAGTACATTTTATACTATTATGTTTTGAAACTCACGTTATGTAAAATATTACTACGTCATAACTCTAATACCGTTCATAGTGAAAGGCCCGCGCTTTGTAACAGCTGGCCCTTCCTAATTGCCTATCTCACCTACCCGCGATGCATCTTGATTATAATTAATAGACGAAGCGTTTCAGCGATCGATGGTGCGGACCTTAGGTCTCTATCGGGATTAAATTATCTACATCGTCCGGTGGGAATCGGTGCTTTACGCTTTATGTTTATATTATTATGATTCCTAATAAAGCTGCTTGTGTTCATAATTTTTTCATTTTCGATCAAGTCGTTGCTGCTGTAATCAATTAATACGGCGTAAATTAAGCAGATTTTTGTTATTGGGATATCGAAGATTAGTATTTTCTCTTTTGTGTCAGTGCCAGAGTGACAAATTACTTTACTAACTAAAAATATAGCATAATATGAGTCTAGCAGAATCTTTTATTAACCTGGGGCTGAAAACGGTTTTAAAAATTGAAAAATGTTTTGAATAATTTTTAGAGGTAAATAAACACGTCGATAGCTCACATTAGTATTCATTGGTTTAAATCCAATTTACTAAAGGATCTAACGGTATGCCGTTGATACCCAATTTGCGAATGTGTATAAAGCCTACAAAGTCAAAGAAGAACACGGAATGGAAACTTTTAGTGAGTTACGTATCATAGATTTTTTTTTCCTTTCGGTCTTAGCGACTTTGAAAAGATTAACTAAGAGGCGGCGCAAATGCTAGAATGGGGTAATGTACTACTAATTCGAAGGCGGATTTCTAAGTAAGTTTTACAACCAAGTTTTAGTTAAATGAAGTCCGAGTGGATCTATTAAGCTCGTTTATTCGGTATAACTATTATTTTATTATATTACATAAACTATTGAATTATATAAAAAGGTTTAAAGTGAATTTTCCTATTGGATTAAGACTTTGATTAGATATGTATACAATGCAATCTTCACTCGTTTCTTTTTTTCAAATGGATAACGACTGAGCAAGAGTTGAAAGTGATGTGTGATGTGAATGAATGTTTGTTTGTACACAGTTTGTCAGTTTGTTAGTGTTTTTGGTACAAACAACTAGAATGGACTTTAACGCAGATAGAAATAAGTTGAAAAAAAAAAAAACGCGATCAAAGATATCACGTACATGTAACAGGTTTAAATAATTTCGTACGCATTGTGTAAGGCAAAGAATTTTCAAACGCCGCCACAAAACAACAAACATTAATTAACAGACAAAAGCAAAGAAGGCCGGAAAACGGTCCCCGACTCCGACGACGCTTATGGAGACTAGCGACGTGAGATATCTCAGTGTTTCGCGGCAGACGAAATTAACATGGCGTTTCATTACGCTCCGCTTAAGAGCGTCATTTGGCTGGAATTATTTGCATATTATCATCATGTTTCACTTTACATTAATTCGGCGTTATTTGGTGGTCGACGTCTATTACGGCGTATCGTCGCCTGGCATTGGGGTACCGATAGCATTGCCTTGTTAATGGAACACGTCCTCCTGATAAAAAGGAATTTTAATTATTAAACTTATAGTTAACCCAGAAATGTTATATTAAGAGGTCTCCTTTAAACCTAAACGTGTATACCGTGACTGTCCATGTATCGATGATGTTTGCGTATGCTCGGAAACCTACCCTAGCTACCGCAGTTTTTGAGGTAATATTGTTTTGTGAATATAATATTGGCAAAAAATTAGCAGTAAAAATGTGCCCTAATTGAGGTAGACACTGATGCTTTTTGCATTATTGACATGCTTTAAAATGCAAACTTGTTCTAGATAACGGCTAGCCTTACCTAGTCAGAATGATAATCACAAAAATCATAACTGAGGTGCATAGTCGCTATATGGACGTCTTGGATGCCAACTTATTCAATGAGGCAATTCAATTCAATCAGCCTGGTCAGGCTTACGATTTTGCCTGGTAAGGCAGGTGACTTGTGCCATGTGTCTAACCTGGTCATATTACGCATTTATGAACGCTCTTGGGTTAGGCTGCAAAATTTGTGGAACCGTTTATGGTTTGTGAAGATGGTAAATTAAGATAAGATCCTGTGCCATTAGCCGATTATGTTTATAAATAGTTCAAAGAAAAAAACGCGGATCCGGAACAACAATTGAGGTCACACAGTTACCTGCCCCGCGGGGAAATCGAACCCACGAACCGCGACGACAAGCTCAACAACTGCGACAACCGAGCGAACAAAACGAATGGGTTATTAATATTCCGAGTATAAATACGAATTCTAAAATGAAGCTCAAAGTAAGCCGGGTATTTGGTCGTATTTATTATTTGAGTTCGCTTTTGCAATCAAAATGATGTTGGGTCCGAAACTAATGTTAATATTAAGAAAACTGAAATTTTCAGCATTTCCCATATCAAATTCAAATTCCGAGTTTACGAAATTTCGTTATTTTTACCCCAGCATCTCATTGTTTGTATCTCGATTGGCATTACAATATAAAATGTAAGGAAGCTCTCGAGTATTATTAAATAAAATATTCTAGGTTCGTTTCGAACGGAGTAATGGTACAAAAGCCCTGGTTGTCTCGCGTTCAGTTGGCGAGACTTATGCTAAAATATTTGAAGTAGTTTGTAGTCTTAAGAACCTAAGCAGGACCAAAGTTTGTCTACACATAAAAAGACTGATCGTGACATATCTGAAATGCTAGCTCAATATTGATCAAATACTGAATCACATGTTTGTCATCAATCAGGTATTTATGATTGGCGTGTCTTTGTAGAAAAACCCCATAAAAGTAAAAGATAAAAAAAATTTTTGCTATTTCGATCTCCAAATTTGGTCAAAGCATCCAAGGAATGATTGAAATGGAGTTTTTGTTGGTAGTAGCTACTCAAAAAGATTAAAAAGCTGATACAGTAATAATCGAATAAAAATTACAATTTATTTGCAATAATACATATCCAAGTGAATATAAAAGTTTATGTAAAATTTGCGAGTTACAGCAACCTTGGAACATGATTATGTTATAGTAAGGGCAATAGTTTTTAAAATGAAGGATTTAGGAGTTTTTAAAATGATGAACTCCGTGAAAGGAGTTTATATTACTTGTACATTAACGTAAAACTAGCATTACCTGACACGTAGTGCACTGAAGAAAAAATGTATTTAGAATAGCTCTTTGGTTTTTGGATGGGATACCAATTGGGGACATACCAAAAATGAATCGTTTTTGGACCAGGAACCTTCGCGGTCGCATAACAACTCGCCAAAATTTCAACAATAAGGTTAATATTTTACGAACGCATAGATCATTGATTCTTACATACAAGAAAGTAGAAGATTTTCAGAAATATTTCTTAATATTATTTATGAAAAAAAAAAGTATAAACATCTTTTTTATATCTTAAAACTATATATACATCTTTTTTTTTTTTCAATTATGCATATGCATATATTTATTTTAAATTTGTTTACGTACTTTCATATTTCGCTGAAATTTACAACTTAATGTCTCTATTATTTTTTGTTTTCGTACGCAAAATTAAAAATAATAAATCCTAGATAGATTCTGGTGTAATTGCATTCCAAGGTCTTTTGTGTTATGAAACGGTAGAGCACAAAGCTGTGTCACAAATACAACGTTTCTTTGTGTTTTTTCTTCTTTATTTGAGCATCCTTCTAGCGTAGGCTTTCTAGGACAGCCATCGCGTTTTTGGCTGCGACAAGATTGAAAAAATATTGGCTTCCATCCTTGTGCCTCGCAAATAAAATGTACTGCTATTACGCCAGCCTTCGGACTTTAATTATTCATGTGGTAATGTACAGGAAACTCCATCAAATTTTACTGAAATGTTCACGTTAATCTACTAAAATAAAATTAGATTTGGAAACAAATGCGGGGATTTATTATATAAAACCTTAGATATTTTATTAATTATGCTGAAAGGTCGAGTACTTCAGTGATTGATGTTGCAGATTATATACTCCAGTAAAATATTTTACAACAATCTATTGTTACTATTTGTTCGATTTCCCCAGGGAAAAATAATAAGAGAATATTTACATGTACCCTTTCAGCTAAATATGTAATTAAGCAGCTGGATTGATTTTTAATATGATTCCTCTTAGGTGTCATACTAACTGTAAGAAATATGATATATTATGACAGTTATACACGCATTCAGACTGTTTGCTTTTAAAATTTATTTTTGTACAAACAAAATTTTCACGCGGACAGTACCCAGACAACACCCAGAACCGAAACAATTACCTGAGGGCCACACAAGTAGTTGTCCCGTGTGGGAATCGAACCCTAGACCCCTGGCGTCGAAGCAAATACCTTTGCTAAAAACTACGTCACGGAGTCATCAATAAAATTGTATTAATTATTTTATTAACTATATTATAACTATAGTGTGACAGTAGATCGCACTAAAATCCCTCCATAATAATATATTGTACTTACTATTTCTTTATTCTTGTATCTTCTTGTCATGAATTGTGAGGAGATATAAAAAACATTATTATTATATTATTATTATATATATATTTATTCGTTTTCTCGTCTGTTTGGGTTTATAAATAGAAATATTATTATTACTAATACACATTAATTTTAGCGATGCTATGACTATTCCAGTTATTTATTCGTGTTGGCAACACTGCCCCAACCGCAAGATGTATCACCTTGATCAAAAAATAGACGGATACCATTACATTACTTATAGATATAATATACGTATGTGCATAAATAAAAACCGCATTTCTGTGGGGCATTGTTCTCCACAATTTCATAATTCACAAGTCGAGAGATCATCAGCAGATTACACATTAAAATTGCATTACTCCATCATTACAAAAAGCTGCTTCGCCGCTGTTGTAGGGGCGAGTTGAATCGAGATTATTATCGTCAGATTGGCCGAAGCGAAACAATGAATATTGAGATATTCAAGACAAGAGCTCGCCTTGCTTGCACTACTTGGCTATACGGGGTATACCGCGGTGAATTCACAGAATCATATCGCTGTGTAATTGGTAATTATATCTCTTCGGAGGCATGTACAATGAAATATTTTTTTTTAATTTAAGCAAAGAGCCGTGATAGCTCAGTGTCCTGGCGCTCGCCTTTAATTCGATATACTCTAGCAAAATGAGTTCGATACCCGGTGCTGGCACCGATGAAATTTTTGATTTTAAGTGCTGACTTCTCACGTGCTCTGTGGTGAGGTAAAGCAGCGTGACCTGCATATTTTCAAAATAATAACAAATATATATTTCGAAGATATGTGAAGTCAAAATGAGTTGAGAAAAAATGAGTTGTGTAAATTGTGAATTTTAGGTTCTTAGTTAGTGATAGTATTATTATGTCTGCACCGTCCTACTGTTGGGCAGAGGTTCTTTTCAAATTCTTCTTCAGCGTGTGTTCACCCACCGTTGCGCATATGTCTCTCCTATTTTTTTCCATTTACTACGGCTATTCGTTTCTCTCGTCCATACTGGGTCTGCTGTCTCCTTAACATCATCGGACCATCGGGCTGATGGTCTGCCCATATTATGAACAGATATTATTTACCCGTGTCAAAATAGCTCCCGAACAATTTATAGGGCTGAAGTAGGCCGTATCTACTGTAGTATTTTTACTTTAAACCATTTATGCTTTGCTAAATTCAAAAAATATTTGATGAGCCATATAGAAAAGTATACATGAATATGATAAAGAATATAGAATAGACTACTGTTTGTTTTATTTCATAATGAAATAAAACAAAAGCATTTTGTCAAATATAAGTTTTGTATTTTTCTTTATGTACATTCTCTAGCGGCATATATTTTCTTTTATTAAACACTAACCGAGTTGTAAATCTATAGAATGCTGTGTCGAGAAGGTGCTTCCTCCTTTTAATAAACAATCTAAATTGTGAAATGTAAGTTAGCAGTTATTACGTGCATTATTTTATAGACTTCAGTAGTTTCGTCGGATTTATGGGTTTTATTGGGAAGTTGTATCATCAAGCAAAATTTTTGTCGAAATTGCATGGACCGGGATGACAAAATCTTTGGATCGCTTTTGTGTCCATCAATGTAGAAAATTTTATATCGTAAGTCACCCATCCGATCTTTCTCCATTCTTTCCGATAATAATACTACAAATTGAGGAAAAATTGAGGAGAGCCAGGAGATTGCATATAATGATCCTAAATCGAAAAAGAAATTAATTGTAACTTTGTCTTTATTATTCAATATTTATTTCTACTAATTTTTGTGTTAAATGTATATAAACCGTATGATAAATAATCATAATTATGCACTATTTAGTAATTAAATATGATTATTTTCTCAAAATCTAGAAGTAGAGTTATGTTGAAAACGGCAAGCAATTTCCTTTTCTACATTCAAATAACACATTACACTTTTAAAATGTACGTTATACGTATTTATAAGAAAATAAAATTAACCCATTTTTAGTCTACAAGATACCTATTTCGTTGCCTTACATATTGTGAGGTGTTTGTAAAATTTTTAAAATCTCATAAATTAACAACTGTTTATCCCTAATTTCTTTCGCCGCGACTGTTGTGATTTATTGTAGTACTTATGAAATCTCGGTATGACATTTTTCTTTTTGTTTTGCGCCCGCATGTAAATTGCGCGGTTTTATCACGGCAGTTTTCTTTCTTCAGTTTAATGAACACAGAAAGTAAAAATGGCAAATAATCAACACGTTAATTAATATCCCCAAAATTCACCTAATGTTATAAAAAAAATCAAACACCCAAATGGACTCGTTGAAATTTAATATCTGAAATAAAATACGTTGCGTCGAGAAGGATTACTTATAGAAGTAAACGAGAACATAATTTGATACTCGATTGAACTGGGAATGAAATTATGCGATCTTTAGGTTGAAAATAAGGGAAAGCGAAATTCTTAAGAGACGATTACGATCTTATAAGCGAATACATCTTATAATTGATTTTGTGTCCATTGGAAAAACTAACTAAAAAAAACCAGAACAAAATTAAGGAAGACCTTATCAGTCATATGATAATAAAAATCTAGAACTTTTCTTAGCCATAATTAATCTAATAATATGCAAAGCATACAAGCATTTTTAATTTAAAAAATAAACTGCTTCCAAGTTATTCAATATTAATTTATTAATGCAATAAAGTTATATACTATAAGTTATATATTTATAACTACTTTCGTAATTATCAAATTCCTAAGATTGTGTCGTGAAGACGATTTTAACAATTACCATCGTAAACGTGTATAATTAAAAAGTATTAAGATATTGTCCAACAATTAGTCATTGTATTGTCACGCAACGGAGTCTTTCAAAGTTAATGGACGTAATTGGCGGTAATTAGCGATACAAAAACACAGCTTTCCTCTCTATTTCGTAACCGTACTAAATGTTAAGAAAAGTACTCAATGCCGAAAACTCACCAACTTTAACTGTCACGGTGCTCAGCAACGCCAATTGAAGAACACATATAAATCTCGTATCCCTCATTGTGGCTTCTTCAATATCTCACCAAACATTACACAATGACACAGTATTACAAGTTTTAGAATTAACTCCTACGTTACAACCGCCGCGGATTGGCGCGCAAAATTTAAATCGTCTCTCATAATATTTACTGCACAGCTCTACATCGGTCCAGTCATATAAAAAAAAAACAATTATTCAGATAAATATCGTTCGATTTTTAAAAATAAAAACAAACAATTACTCAGACAGATGTCGTTCGATTTTTAAAAATCCAATCCGATTCGATTTTAACTTTTTAATCTCGCTAGGCAGGCGCGCGCCGCGGCCGCGAACTTCCAAATACCGTATGTAAAGGAACGCACGCACCGCGCTCTGGTGATCGACCCCACCGGAACCACAGTCAATGGGCCCGCGACTGACGACTCCATGTGCACCGCACCGAAACGCGCCTTCCACCAACCTCCTATCTGCGCCCCCGAAAGTACATTATGCGGCTTATGCGCTACGCAATAGAGCTTAAAGTTGAACACAAATCAATAAAGCCGTGTACGTAACAACGGTAATGTTTAAGTTCGTAGTTTTGTAGAGCGTACGCGCATAGAAATACGTTCACCTATTGTGAGTGACGTCAAGAAGTGCCATTATAGAATGACAATAGACTAAGGGAAAAAACATAAAGGACAATGATTAGGATAAGGCGTTACAAAGTACAAAGGAATGTGGTGCGTTATGCAAAGCAATAATCTGTGTTCTAAAATACTCCTTATGTAAGAAAAAACATAGCATGGAATCGTACATTACAAATGCTTTTTATATTTCCCATTAGGGAAATTGATAATAATTTCTTTTTTAATTTTATACTGGCTCAATTACTATCATTTTAAAATGAAACTATTCCATAATTTTGTTGTATTTAATCAAGTTCTTGTTTACCGTGACTTTCTCTTGTAAATAAGTTTTCGAGATGAAATCTGTGCTTATCGTCACTTGCACCATAAGGTACGGAATCGATACCCACTAATGCAAAAATATTGTGCGAAAAACATAGCGCTTTTGTAGAGGGCTGCTATTTATATATTTATAATTATTCTTTATTTTAAAAATATATTTATCAGTTACACAGTTTACAAGCAAGCGTTTTACAACAACACGCAATTTTACAGCGTCCTGAAATATGAATTTACATTTAATTAAATCAGTTACATATTTACATATGTATATTTAAGTAAACATAATAATGTAGGCATTTCATTAAATGAATGTCCATTTCAGCACATATTTTTACACGTTATCTAGTCCCAAACTAAGCAAAGATTGTTTTATAGATATTATTTAACTGATAAACATTTTTCTTTTTTTATATATATATATATATATACTTATAATAAATATATAAGCACCCAGAAATTATGAAAACACTATGTATTTGGCACAATATTTTTGGCGTTCGAACCCACATCTCTCTGGCGTAGGAGGTAGGTCGACTATTCAATAAGCCTAGCGGGTCGCCAACTGTTTGATGATTTATAATCAGTAAGAGAAGGGTGTCGTTAACTACTTAAGCTATGTTAATACAAGCAGTATTTCATATTAGTATGTATTTTTTATCAATTACTTAAGAATCAGCGTTTCCCGTGTAATCGGTCGCGAGCAAAATCCCTCCTGAAACTTCGAAGCGCAAACTAAACAACCACTTCCTGTTTACCCACCATTGAGAGTTACTAAAATTTGCGACTGTTTTTCTTCGGTGTTATTATAGGACTCGCTTTGAAAATGACAAATTTTACCAGTTTACTCTGGAATTTCGTCGAGCAACTACATTGCCTGGTTTATGTGTCCCCCTTTTTAATAGCGCGCTTTCATTAAGTTTTTCTGTATTCCTTGTTTTTTAAGGATTTACTATTTTAAAATGCAATATTTAATTAATCAGAAGGGAAAACGGATGAGAGCGGAGTTTTCAAACTCTTTATAATTCTGTACTCTCTTTTATATAAAAAAAGAGAACAATACGTGTTTATTAACGGTTCTTCTCTGGTAAGATCTATATAAGTGAACCAGTGTAGTTATTTTTTTTTATTTGGTTTTGATAAACATTGTTGATTTTACTTTAGGATAACTTTATCCTGTGTTGTAAGGACGTTTTTACAAACATAAATTTCACGCGGACAAACACCCAGATGCGAAACAACTATCTGTGGTTCACACAAATAGCTGTCCCGTGTGGGAATCGAACCCACGACCCCCGACGCCGAAGCCAATACCGAAGCCGATACCTTGGCCACTGCGTCACGTTTAATAAGAGCTTAGAACAAGCCTAGATTTATTTATCCAATATTTACAACATTAACTCTATCTAAATTACATATTATCTCATAAACCTAGTGCACGGGGCATGGTGCCAAAAATGCTGCATTTCCTCGCTGAATAGTTATGCTTAAATTTTGAGCCAGAAAAGAACCAGCTCTCTTGTCACCAGCCGCAGCGTTAAGCTTAACACGTATCCCTTTATAAAATTTTGATGTACGGGGACCACAAGGACCCAAAGTTACAACATCAAATGACAAAAATACAACATCGGAACAGTGTCTAAGACATAAAATAAATTCTAAGAATTATCTGAGATCGGTCCATAAGTTTTTCGTAATGCCCGCATAACGGCAGACCTCTATTATTTTGTTTATGCAGAAGATTATTATATTTATGTTACAAAGCTGATTATATACTATATATTATTATATGCTATATATATACATTATATACTCATTACGAGTATAAAATGCATGATGGTGAAGATCGGTCACTACGTGTAACCGATGTTCGTCCGTTCTTAGCCGCTTCGTAAGTTTTGCAATTAAGAAATCAACTTAAAAGGAAAAAAATGTCTAATTTTATTTTGTGAAAATGTAGCAAGCGAGCTGGATACTCACCTAAAGCTAAGTTGTAACGGCAGCCCTTTCAATAAAGTGGGCTCCGCTTACTTCACTCACCTGACAAAGAGCAGAAGTGTGACACTTTAAGTTATTCCCCGAGCGGACCTGCCCATTCATGCCACAGCGAAAACTGTTGTGTGGCCGCAGTTAAATGCCACTACGATTCCAATCAGCTGTGCTCAAAACCAGTCCTCATCTTTCGCATATGACAAATATACTTACATAAATAGATAAATACGTAGCCGATATCTAGTATGTCGAAAGCAGAACTCATCGAAGCATTGCGACCGGAGAAAGGAACGGACACGGCAGAGATACGGTGAAAGTCAGATAACTCTTATGAATATGAAAACATCCATGAATCTTTGAACTTGAACAATCAACAAGATATGTACCTGCAAAACAGAGTTGTGTAATCTGTGCGGGGAACGTTTACTTTCTACTCACTTATTACTCGGCCCGCAGTTATACTGCGGACCGAGTCGACTAGGTAAATAGTCACATAGAAAACTGGCGTGCTGTAAAGTCATGGCCGTAGACAGGGATGTGTATGTACCCTTGAAATATTTATTTTATCGATTTTATTTATTCCCTTTATTTTTCAATTTTATCTATTTTATTTAGTTTGTATATATAGGCGATATGAAAAATAGCTTCTTTCTCCGTTCGCTCAGGCATTAAGTCCAGGTATGTATGATGCTATGTGGGCACTTATTCGTGTACCTTTTCTTTTGTCACAACAGTTTGAACATTGAGCGTCCACATTTACTTCAGAAACAAAGACCGAGTACAAGTTAAACATAGAACAACCATTATTGTCGTCACAGACTGCTGAAACTGGATCTCTGCAGATATTTCGAGGACACGGCCAAAACATTGAAAAGACAATATTTTTTAATGTGACGTATTAAGGCACACAATTACATCATATTTTGTACACTATTCGACGTAAGGTACAGTACATGTACAGTTTCGTAACGCCAACCTGGTAAGGTATTATTTTATCCTCTTTTTGATTATATTCTAATATATAAAATTCTCGTGTAACGGAGTTTGCATATATTTTCCATCCCCCTAAATATTAAGGGTGGTCCACCCCAAACATTTTTATCTACCCTACAAATAATTTATATGGCAAAACAACGTTTGCCGGGTCAGCTAGTACTTTTCATATAAAAACACAACATAATTAAAATACAACAGGTGATCATCATCATATGGATTGATGGACTTTACGTATTTTAAATTACTTTGTGTAAACTCTAATTGTCTTTGACGATATTCTCCCAGACACCGCAGAGCATTTCCATCTCCAGTTAACATGTAATAAAAGAAGGTGACAGATTGATCTTCCAGGACTGTGCAACATACCAATGTTTATAATTTTTAACAAATGATCTGGTCCTGTGCCTGGATGTTAGCTTGTAAGGTAAAATGCCCTTTTTATTAAGCTCCCTAAGTCAACATGGCCCCACCAACCTTGCGGTTATACGGGCCGAATCGCGACAGGGCGCACACGGTCTGGCCGCAAGGCTCCAAATATACCGACTTCCTACAAATTATTTATTCATGTCCTTGTCCCTGAATCGACTCGTCCCCATTGGGGCTTTACAACACTACACTTTGTGACTCGCTGCCTGCCGCCGAGCGTACTCCTTTAGTTCTTCTGAAAAGCCAGCTGTGCGCAAACCATTTCAGCTCCTAGAAGTTGTTTCCACCAGAGGCTAGGTTGTGGAAGTATGCCAGGCCCAATCTCGTGCAGGTCACCCCACCAACATTCTCTTTCGCAGGTCCAATCACAATATTATTAGCTTATTGCTTGGTATTCGCCGAACGAAGTGGTACCAACGACTGGTTTGATGATTCCTATTCGAAAATATGTTTTCCTGGAAGGTAATAAATTTGCAATTAATTATATTATAGTATGAAGTTTGCAATTAATTTTGCTTATTCGCGAAATAGAATAAAACTCAAAGAAAAGGTACGCGTACAGAGACCGACGCAGACTTTGACAGCGCCGTAAGTTTTACAACAAATTATCTATCCAAACTTACACTTAAAATGTATCCTGTGCGCTAGCTAGCACTAAAATTAAAAAAAAAACATAAAGAACAGTTCTTTTGATATTGGTGATGTTTATGGAGACATGCCGTACAATGAATTTGAATTTGAAAACCAATCTTCAGCTGTCCACGTAAACAAAGGTAACCTTTGGCGAATCCACCGAGACGGGGGACCGAAATTTATTTTCTGTTTCCACCTCACTCTAAGGGCGAGGGGACTTGAATGTACCTCTGTATCGAATACAAACAACATGACTATTGGAAAGCAACGTACGACAAACGAATAATTTAAAACGTTACATAGACATGGTAGCTTTTGATACAAGCACCGTAGATGATTTGAATTGAAAAGTTTTCACTTTAAAATATTATTTTTTTATTACGAATAGTGTAAACGGGAGAGAAAGAAGCTCCTCACAATATAGTAATCATCATAACTGGGTTATCACTGGAGATCACTGCCAAAAAGAAAGAAAAGAATAGCCTTGCTGAAAATTGTAGTGATTGTGTACTTTGT